CTGTTGCTAGGACACTGATAAGCATAGAAAAGCTAAGGACACTTTATAAGCTGGGGAAATGTTTGGTAGTATGATGTTCTGATATTCGTAGATCTAAATTCAGGAGGAATAGAGAATAACAAAGAGAAATAAATATATCTGTAAAGAGGCTTTTGAAATCATTTAAAACAATGCCTTTAAATAGTAGATATACAAAGTATTATATTGAAAAATGTTGGGGTTTTTGTTTTTTTTACTAACATTAAAGAATCTACTATCAGTTCGACTCTGAATGCTGATCAGTACTTTTCAGTAAAATCTAATTTAATCTATCTCTTCATTTCCTCAAAAATCAAGTGACCAATCCTTGACCCCAAAAATAAAAACTTGTGTTCTGATACTATGGCTTTAGTTTAGCAGGATAGAGTAATCAGTGTTATTCTATTTTTTATCCTCCCACGGTTCTCTAAATATAAATGCAGTCTCTTCCTTTGCCTTGGGGAATTGAATGCCAGTTGGGGAATTCAAAACAGTGTTGGTTTCAATCTTGAGTTCCTCTGCATACCAAGTTCACTTCTTTGGCTCTAAGGCATGCCTCTCAAAGAGAAAACGTGGGGAAATGCTGAATCCAGGACTGGTATATCCTGAGACCATCTTGCCTATATAGTTAACACGGTCCTGAAATTCTGTCCCAATGTGGTTCATGAATAATAAGGCCACATTTGGACAGAATCATATTTGGACAAATCAGTCCAAATTACACATCCAAATGTAATTTGGACATCAGTGTTCAAATGTGATTTTTATTGCTGCAGGCCATAGTATGTAAAAAATGAGATTAGATATACACCATGCCACTGCTCATTTATTTTTACATGGGAAATATGCCCATCTGAATGGCAATGGGTTGTCTGTCAGAGATGAAGCGAGATACAAAGTTGGAAGTTTGTTCATCACCATGAGCTGATGAGAACTGGCTGGAATAGCATGTGTGGTAAATAATTTTTACATCTCTGAAGCACCAATGTGACAGAACTCTGCAGTTATTGCTAGGTTTAATATCAGAAGGTAGTAATGAAGCTTTTAATTACCAAATACTGATAACATTTCTTGAAGAACAAAATAAATTTATACTTTTTAATACGTAATCACAGGATCAGCCTGGATCTACCCTGGTCTTATCTTGCCTCATCATTCTCTTAAGTCAACATTTTCATCTTGTGTTCAAAGTACATATTTAACATTTATGTATAAGGAAATAAAGCCAAGGCTCTCATGCAATTTGTGTATGAAATTGGCTGTATATCCATAGTCACAATGCCAAGAGAATCTCGGTATTTGCTATCAATCACCCGTTACTCAAATTTCCCTCATCAGTTGGATTACAAGCCAACTATTTCTGGGACAGTTGTTTACTGGAGAAATAATTACAGTTATTCTTGTTCAAGGTAAGATCAGATAAAAATGAGGGCCCTCTTGGAATGGGGGTGGGAGGAAAATAGTTTAAAGCTCCTCATGGAACTGGCTATTGATGAAAGACAAGCAGGCATGACTGCCATTAGCGATTCTCAACTAGAACCAGATATAGCAGGTAAAAACAATTTCAGTTCTGAATAAAACATAGTAGCTGCAGTCACTTTTCACAGTTAAAGACAGACAGCATGACCTAGCAGAAAGTATGTATTGTTTGGGCCAGGTTCTGCCATATAGCAGCTATGTTACATTGTGGCAACTTAACCTCTCTGAGTTAAACTTTCTCATCTGTGAAATGGGTTCATAGCAAGCTTTCAGGATAATTTTGTATATTAATATAAATGATAATATAAATATAAATATAAATAATATAAACATAAACATAAATATAAATATATATAAATATTGCCCAGAATGATGCTAGAGCATTGCTAGTGATCAATAATTTATATCCAAGCATCCAGATTTCCTCAGCCTTTCATTTCACATATTGCTATGTAGTAGTGGTGCCTCTGTCCTCAACCATTAAAGTCTCCCACCATTATTTCTGGAGGTCGCCACAGTGTGACCCATATTGCATGAGAAACCACAAGGCTACCTCCCAAGTCTCTTTGAGGGAAGGAGCCATTCCCTATGGCCCTCTCCCAGCACCCTCTGGGAGAACTCTGATCTGACCAAAGTCTCAGTCAGAGACCTCAAGAGGCCAGTGCTGTGCAGTGGATAAGGGCAGGAAGGAAAGAGGGCCTTCATCCTTTCTCTTCTGAACCTTGAAGCAGTCTTCTGCATAATCCTCCCAAAAACAGATCTTTTGGTTTCTCTGCTTCACTCTCAGGATAAACCTGACCTTGGAATCATGCTAGGAAATCAACTGTGCTTGTGGGCATTTCCTTGCCCCTTCCCTTGGTCTCCAGCAATGTGCTATGTGCTGTCCAGGCATTATTTCATACTCCCAGGAAGCCTGTGAGATGGAGATATTTAATCCCAAATATAGGTGAAGAGACTGAAACCTAGGAACACTGTATGTATCATCTCTTTTTTATTAATCCTTTCAAAAATTTCTTAAATGGCACCAGCTACTTCTCTCACACTTACCCTCAAATTCCCTTCTTTGAGCCCTTAAAAAAATAAATAAGTAATACTATCCTATATAATAAAAGCCCAGCAACCGAATGGCAGAATGACCAGAACTACTGGCCAACCAGTTGCTATGACATGCACTGACCACCAGGGGGCAGATGCTCAATGCAGGAGCCGCCCCCTGGTGGTCATTGTGCTCCCACAGGGGGAGCAGTTGCTCAGAGGGTGGGTCCACAGCTGCTGGGCTGAATGGGATGAGCGGTGCTCCCACAGGGGGGCCAATCCCCACAGGCCACGCCCCCACCAGTGCACAAATCCCAGGCTCTGGGCCTCTAGTAGTCCATATAAAGAGTAAGAATTTCTCTTCCCTTTAATCTCCATTCCCTTAATTCATCTTTCTATCTCCAAGTATAGGTGGGAAATAATTGAGGAACTATTTTTTGATGAATGAAGTTTTGATCCCAGTCTACAGGAAATCTCTAGAGATTATTTTCAAACTAAAACCAATTTCATACCCCATAGAAACTTTAGTTTCATGGAATGAAAAGCCAAATGAGAACAATCCAATAATGTCTTTCCAAAAAGAAGGTACAATAAGTACACTTGCCCAATTACTACTGAGAATTATTCTCTTTTTTAAACCAAGAAATAGAAAGGAAAATTGTTTTACCGGTAATGCTTTGTGTTCTTTATCCAGGGCTAGCAAAAGAGACTCTGGTTATCAATCTCTGTGTTTACCAAGCGTAATTTTTCATGGGAGATGTCAGTTATATTTATCAAAAAGCCAAATCAATTTCAATTCTCCTTGCAGGAGTCTTGTTAAGTAACATAGAACAAGATAGTATCAAATGCACTTGAATAAAATTCAATAGTTCACAAGTATTAGTACCAATCCATTTTCTATTAATATTTTATTTATTTATTTTTGATATATTTTTATTGATTTCAGAGAGGAAAGAAGAGGGAAAGATAGAAATGTCAATGATGAGAGAGAATCATTGATTGGCTGCCTCCTGCACACCCCTTACTTGGGATACAGCCCGCAACCTGGGCATGTGCCCTTGACCAGAATTGAACCTGGGACCCTTCAGTCCTAACGCCAACCCTCTATCCACTGAGCCAAACCAGTGCTCTACTAGTATTTTAGATCAAAATATTCAAATTCATTTACATCAAATGCTTTGAGTTTTCTGAATTTCCCAAATTACATGCCTACTTGCTGGTAATGTCTGAAAAACAAGGAGAGGTGAGACCAACAAGATATTTGCATACATACCAATACAAAGGGATGATGTTGCATCATTTTATTTTTCTTCTTGTGTACTTATTCCTTCTTGGCCACTTGAAGTGATCCATAAATCAAGAATTAATAAACATTGAAGGCTTCCTGTTTACCACCACTCACATGTTCTCCTTTCTCCAAGGCCTGTTTTCCCTTCATCAGAATTCACAGCAAAGAGGAGAGGGGAATGGACAGGAAAACCCGCAATATGTTCGGGAACTGTATTATTAAAGCACCTCTATTAGCTGCATATATAGAGGTCTTGGGAAATTCCAACTTTTTTATATTGAGATAATGGATTGAAGTTTTAAATTAGTATTTTGTGTCTTATTTTTTCAATATTCAAGTTCTTTAAAAATATTCACTAAATACAGAACTGATAATTTAATGATTATTTCATTATTAAGAGTGAAAATATCTGTACTCATGCCTATGGATTCACCTCAAATGTCTCTTTATATTTTGTGCATTCTTTCTTCTCATGCTAGTTATGAACTTTACTTTGATGCCTGTATCCAAAAACCAAGAGCAGGTGAAACTCCTGAAAATACCGATTTGTGAAAGGGAGGGCTAGCCCACTTGGTTTTGCTTTCACAACCAGGAAATAACTAATGACAATTTGGAAGTAATTCACTGTTTGTCTCTTACGGTAGCATGTCAGGCCCTCCATTGTTGGGTTCAAACTAATGCTAAATTGCAAGAGAGCAGGACAGGGGTCTTTGGCCGTGATGTAAACGGAAGAATTTTCTTAAGTGAATCAGATCCTTTTTACTTCATCTTGTTACATAAAACATGCTATTATAGGGTTTATATATTTTAAAGGTAGTGAAACAAATTTACCCTATATTTATAAAATATGGATTGCTTGCTTCCTATAAAAATTTAAAATCAGTTCTCCAGAAGAAAAAGATAAACATGTATAGATGCAAATCCATTCCGTATTGGTTTCTTAGTATCACATTAAAGAGAAAAGCTGAGGATATAAGTTATGACTTAATGTTGATTTTGAATGCACACCGCTACCTAATGTACATAAAATAACCATCACCGAATGAAACTGATACATCCAACAGCTTGGCTGCATTGCAATGATTTTATAAGTGCTTACAAAAAGTCGATTTTGGGATGTTTCACTCCTTAGGTACAAAACAAATCACAAATATGTCTTTATGTTGATTTTCTCTGATAGGACTGGGAATTCCCCCATTTCATGGGAGACGTTGACGTAAATCTCCCTGGCTTGCATACGCCTCACATGCAGTTCCAGATTCCTTTCTTCCAGAAGATCTTTAAGGAAGAATATCGCATTCACATAACAGGTATGTTATAACCTTGAATAGGATTTGTCTCCTACTTAGAGTAATGCTAGCTGCTATGAAAAAGCAAATGGCGACATTGTAGAGGCATACATAAATATAACTTTTGTTCTTACCGACAGTACCAGGTGGTTCCCAGTGGTTCCAGATCGACTGGGTCTCTGGGCTGTCCCTCTGGGACTTGCACTGCTGATGGCTTTAACAAGTGCAACTTCAGGCAGTTGGGAATAAAGAGAATGGGGAAAATGGTTAAGAAGGCTTCCCTGTTTCTTAACCACCTTGGCCTGGAGCAGAAACATGTCATCTCCACTCACATTTTATTGGCAATAACTAGTCAGGAGTGTGCGGTGCCTGGGAAGGGGGCGGGGCGGGGAGAGGGCAAATCTTCAATGTGGAGAGGAAGCGAACTCCATATGCAGTTCCTGGTTGGGCAGCCACTTCTGCTGTCAGACCTAGTGCTCTAGCACAGGATTGTCAGGGGAGAGGGCAAATCTTCAATGTGGAGAGGTAGCGAACTCCGTACCATAGGTAGTCTACAATTAGCCGTACTCCCTGTACCACCCCGCCTTGTTTTTTTTTTTCCATGGGTGGGCTTCCTTTTCACAACCTACAGCTCAGTAAATTTTCTCAACATGAATACTCTTTGTGCTTTGTTTTTCATTTATGGCTGAGATCAAAACAATGGTAGCTCCCATCAGACCATCAGCCTTCAGGGAGCTGGCCCCGGTCTCATTTGATTGAGCACAAACCTCCTTCCATGACAGAGCTCATGTTTGTCTCCAGTGATTCTCTTGTGGCTCCTCAGATGATTTCACTTTCAGATGTGTCCCGTGTTTGAAACACCTCCAATATGATGTGTTATAATATTCTTTTGTGGCATCTCAGTCATTTGCTTCTAAAAAAGGCTTCCTAGGGTTATGCTTTATACCTTTTATTTCTTTTCTAACAAGAAGCAGACAGCTGCGTGGCCAAATGAAGGATGGCATTAGTTCCCAAGCTGTTCAAATGCGAGTTGCCCGTGTGTGCACATTTTAAGGACAATGGCCGAGGATCCCACACCTGCTATGATAGAAACTGCTGAGGAAATCTGTGCTTACACTACCGTCTGTGCTCCCGAGTAAAAATAGCCTGAACACAGGAAAACGTGAACACATGAGCACTGCAAAAAAACCTTTGCTTCTCAACTTGAAGGCTGTTTTTTTGCTTTGAGCATGAGGCGACCTTTCTAAATTGGAGAATGAGCTCATGAATAGGGAAGATGCAGCAGGTTGCTTTTCCTATTCAGAATGAATGAGGCTCATCTATTAAATTCACCAGGTAAATCAATCAATTTGAGTTCAGGTCACATCGTGTGGTTTCAGAGTCCCCACTGAATCTCGGCAGCATGCTTCCCCCCGGACTTCTGAACAGCCATCATGCACATGGCATCGTCATATCCCTTCGGGTGGGCTTTTGCCTGGACCATCTGTTCTTGCTATCAGCTCTTGTCCCAGGCCATCATGGCAAAAATATTGTCTCGGACTGAATATCAGAATCCCTGTCAAAATTATTTTGCTGGATGGTAGTAGACTAACAGGTTTAAAAGGGGAGGGGCAGATTCAGAGAAGCCATTGATTAGAAAAAAAAATCAAGTAGTTGAAAGTATTGAATTCAGGACTATTTTGCATGGTTTTGTCAGATATACTATCATTTAAAGACAGGGGCAGCTTTTTTTTTTTTAATGGTCTGGCTTTATTTACAAAGAAAAGCGGCGACAGTGCTGCCATTGCAGGAATGAGTGGAAATGGCTGGGGCCTCTCCGGACAGGCTGGCTTCATGACACAGGGTCCCAGACCCAGGCCTCTCAAGTTCTTCTTTTTGGCCCCGATGCCTGAGAGGGTGATGGGCCGGCAGGCCAGCTGCACAGGTTCACAGCCAGGGAGTGGGTGTGACACTAAAGTCCAGGACCACAGCTGGCTAATGTTCAGGGCCTCAGGTGATTTTGGAGCCAGAGCCCAGGGTGTTGCGACAAAAGTAGGCATGTGGGCACTCCAGAAAGGTGAATCACTTTTGTCATCTCAGCTTTATATGCAACTCCTAAAACAAAGTTAAGGGTGAGACTGCAAGTTCAATAGAAATGGGTGGCCGGTGGGAAAGGAGATGGGAGAGGCCTGCCAGGAGCTGCAAGTTGAGAGCCCAGGAAAAGAGAGGAGGCCCCACAGCAGAGCATGATGGGAAAGGCCTGGGGACCACAGAAGAAACGAGCTGAGGTGGAAGGGACCCTAGGGACCCCATGTAGCTCCATGGGCTGCTTTCTCTACTGTGTTCTGCACTAGAAGAGGCTGGACAGGGCCTGCTAGGGTTTCCTAAGGGTCAAGGATGGCCGTACCCTGACGTCAACATCGCGGCTCAGTGATCTACAAAGAGCGTGGGTGCACACTGAGGCAATGGAGTTAGAGGTTTGGGCATAGGCTCCAGCTCCACCATTGACAGCTGGTGTGGCCTTTGTCAAGCTCCATAACCACTCAGTGGCTCAGTTTTCTCATCTGTTAAATGGAGACTGTACTGGTACTTACCCCTCGGTTGCTATGAGAATTAAATTAATTCACATGTACGAGGCACTTAAAACACTGTCTGCCGTGTCTTAAGCACTCACATTCTCACTGTCTTTACCTAACGCTTTTCCATGTATCCATTCAGGGTTTGTGTTTCTATTTAATTTTAAAACAAAGTAAAACATTAGGCAGCCAAAGAAAGGCACTCTGATTAATTATCCAGTATTCTGAGTTCTCTACTGTGACTGCCCCGAGTCCTCAGGAAGGAAGATGCTGAGAATGGCAAGAAGCTCTCTCCCAGGGAACGGCTGTGGATGGAGAGGGCCATCTGACACTGATGAGCTCCCATTCCCATTTCAAAGCATTAGGCTTTGAGTGGTTTTTAATCCTGATTCCGAGCTAGTTTTCCTTATGCGTGTCAGAAATAACCTGAGTTGTTGCATCTGTTCAGCTCCTCTGGGTCCCCCTTGACAGATGGTTTGCTGCAGTATGTATATCATCGCTATCTATGGGTGTGTTCAAATATTTTTCTGGGAATTTTTATTTCAGTAACAAAGCGGGTAAAAGGTTAGTGATGAGGTCACCCGGTGCTTTTAGCCCAACCCCAAGTAAATGCTCAATGCAACTGTGCAATCATCTCCTCTGCCCTCTGCCCCTTTACCTATAAGGTGAGTGCAAAGATGGATTCAAAATGTGATGTATTGAGTCTCAGGAGGTGAGAGAGGAATGGCCTCTCAATTCAATCTCGGGAGCTCCTCTGAGTCCTATTAATGCCAGTCCCGGTGGAAGCCCTGCCATCTGTCATCCCAGCCAGACAAAGGAAGGGTCCCGTTGGTGGCCATCATCTGAGTAAATTAGGCGGGGGCTGGGGGGAAAGGCCGGAGGAAGGCCGGTGCCTCTGCGAGGAGAGAATCCACACTGTTGGCACGATGATGCCCGCGGGAACTCTCTCGGCAAAAATGGAAAAGGTAGAAGTAAACAAGCCGCTGTGGCGTCTGTGTTCTGTTTCAGTTCCCTGCGCGGTGTGAGGGCACAGGTGCGGCACGACGGCGAGAAGGGGGAAAATAATGAATAAAACCCTTCGCTTTGTTTCCAAAGGTGCATGATTTCTGGCAAATGAGTTCCCAGAGATTGTTTTTTAAAGAGCTCTCCTGTGTCCATCAGATCATGGGACGTGCTAGGGAGGGCAGGCCAGTGGTCCATCGGGCACAATATTCTGTCGGACAGAATTAGCGAGGGACTTGTTATAGGGAGATAGGATGCATGCTGTTCACCATGACAGTCCCCCAAGATCATGAAGTTATCCAGAGCACACAAGGACCTCTTGCTCTTCTCTCAGTTGTGAATTTTTTTAAACCTTCCCTGAAGCAATTTCCATTATCAACACATTTATACAGCTCTAAGAACTAACTATGTTTACTTCTACCTAAAGCAGCAATTCATTTTATTTGTCCAAAACTCATCTTCTTCAGGCTGTAGTTGCTTCGCCCATAACCTGTGAGTCCTTGCTGCCCTGAGCTGGTCCACCTCCCCCAATTGAGGTGTCCTTATGCATAGATGAGGATTTTCATTATAAAACTCACATGCTCCTCAGAAACTGTCTTCGCGCTCAGAGGAAGAACTTGAAATATATAATTAATCCATCGTTGATACATGAATATTTTATTTTCCAGATTATATTAGATTTTAGCAATATCCCGGAATTCAAGAGATCATTGTAACATATGTATTTGATTCGAAGGATAGAACTTCACTCATTGTTGTTGTTTTTTGACACACTATCTCAGAGCTTACCTGTTTGTTAACAGACATTTTCTGAGTTAATTTGTGTCTACACCTAAGCTAGGATCTAGGAAATACAAAAATGAACCTGACATAGTTCCCAATCTCAAGAATCTTCTGTCCAGTCTTCAGTACAACTAGATAGCTTTTTCTTTCTCTTTCATCATCACAAGTTTCTGCCTCTACTCGTCATATCAGATTATGTCCTAAAGGAATAGTCTCCCACTTAGGAAGCCACAATGACAAGAGAGGCACTTTGAGAAGCTATATTAATTTGTTTTTAAGTCTTAAGAAGATACTTCACCAACTCAAGTAACTCTTATTAATTCAAAAATTATTTAGTAAATATCTTCAAGTTTCTAAATGGTATCCTCAGGGTCCAAGCACTTAATGTGGGTTCTAGATGTTCATAAATTCCCTAGGCAGGGACTTAAAGAGATGCTAATGCAGTGAGCCTTGTTTTCACTGCTTTTGTCTGGAATGAGAGGGCATTGACTATGGCCAAGAAGCCTGTTAGAGCCTGCTGTTATTTCTTTAATTATCCGAAACTCATCTTCTTCAAGGCCAGGGTTTCTTGTTATCCCATAGTGCAGTGGTTCTCAACCTTCCTAATGTCGCAACCCTTTAATACAGTTCCTCATGTTGTGGTGACCCCCAATTTCATTGTTACAAATTGAACATAATTAA